CGCCGCGGTGGGGCGTTCCCGGGCTGCCGAGCAGCACTTCCAGGGCAGACCTCGCCCGGATCAGCCCCACATCTCTCTCCCGTGAAGCTCGGCACGGGGCAGGCAGGGCTTCAAAGCCATGACCTGCTGCCCTCAGGCCTTCATCTTCCTCCACGCAATAATCAGCCACAAACGCAGCAACGAGGCGAGGAACCTGCAGCATCAAGCACAGCTGAGCTGAACCGGCATCTGCCCTGCACTGCAGGGAGGCCTGCAAGGTCACCAGCCTCCAGCAAGAGCATCTGACCCAAGGCCTGAACAGTCCCCGAGGGTCCCCAAAGCAGGTCCTACAGTCCCCAAGACCAGGGACCCCCATGATGTAGGTCACTGGTCGACATTAAAAGGGCCAGGCAGCAACCAGGGCTCCCTCTCCCCTCCACAGAAGGGCCAAGCTTGGTGGAAGACAACCGTCCTCACCCCGCAGCTGATCTCCCAACACCATCTCTGCTAACGCCCCAGGGAAGCTCACTGCCTCCTCCATTGAGCAACGCTGCCATGAGGTAACCCAGTCTCTGCAGGGGACAACTGACCACCCTGAGTTTTGGTCGCATCCACCACACTGGCTGGAGGGACCCATTCCTGGCTCACCCTGCAGGCCAGGTCACCCCTTTTTACTGCCTGAGGGGCACAGAGCTGGTCGCTCCCTCCAGGAGACTGAGCACACCAAGATGTTGGCCGCTTGGTGCATCAAGACCATTTCTACCTCTTCTCCAGGGATTATCTTCCAGCTGGGGCAGCAAGCAGCGACAGAGACACGTCCACAGCAGATTAAATTAAAAATTAGCAGGACCAGGTACAGGGCTGCAATCTAGGACCTAGAGTGCGAGTCAGACTGTTGTTCCTCTTGCCTGAGGGTAACAGAACAGCCAGGGACAAGGAGATGAGCGTAGCTGCTTTTTGCTGCCAACAGACTAAGCCCACTCCAGCTACAGCCCCGTGTCTGGTGTGGTTCAGCTCCTGCAGCAGCTTTGCTCAGCCCTTCATAACCTGTACAGCTGCTTCAGTAGGTAAAGAAAAGCTGGAGCTTGGCTGTTGCACTGGAGAAAGATTTAGCTCAGGAGGAACCTCTAAAGTCTCATATCCAGCCTCCTGCTCACAGCAGGGCTACCTTATCCAGCTGCTCAGGGCTTCACTTCAAGCCTTGAGTGAAGGAGGATGGCTGTCCTTCACTCAGGGCTTGAAAATCTCCAAGGATAGACAAACCCCACTGCTCTGGGTGCCTGGCCCAGGGCTGTCCCACCCTCCTGGGCAGGGAGCCTTTCCCAACCTGTACCTTGGAAGCCCTAGTTTGGGACATCTGGCATCACTGAAAGGTTGGCTCCATCCTACTTGGAACTGCCCTTCAAGAAGTGACAACCTGCTTTTAGATAGCCCTCAGCCTCCTCTTGGCAAGGCTAGCCCAGCCCCGATCTCTCCTCAGCCCCACGCCCAGGCGAGGTCAGCAGTCTCCCATGACTGCTCTCCAGTTTCTCCACATCCCTCTTTACCTGGGGCCACCCCACGCGTGGCCACCCCTGTGCTGGGTACAACAGCTTCCCACAGCCTGCTGACCACATTCCTCGGGCAAACCACGTACGGGGTGATGTTATGTGACCAGAGCCACCGCTGCCCCCTATTCAGCCTGGTGCCCACCATCAGCCCCAGCTCCTTTTCAGCAAGGCTTCTGCCCAGTCACCATCTAGCGTCTACTGACGGACGTTTCACGCAATTTCGAGTTAGCTGTGCGTAAGGTCACCCAGTTTCACCCAGTGTACAGCAGAACAGGATCTCGTCTTCCATTTTATTTCAAAGTTTAAAAGTTTGGTTAAAAAAACCCCAACAAGTTAGTACCAGTTACAAACATCTGTAAATACACAAAGATATCCAGCAAAACCCCAAACCACATGAAGAACACAGATCTCACCCCCAGGGCCCTCCTCTCCACCGTCTCTGCACCTCCAAGGACTGGGCGAGAGAAGGAACAGGCCATGCTCTCAATCTGGAAGGGCAAAGAGCATATTCCTGCTGAAAAGACACTTCCAGAGAAAGACCATCTTGTCAGCAGCCCAGCGAGGAGTTAAAGAAGGAAGCTATTGGCTCTAAACGTTACCAGCAGAGAGGAGGGAAGATCCCAGCGCCTCTCACAGCTGAGGACAGTGAAACCACCACATCACCCATCAGGTCCCAACAGGAGAGCTGCCCAGGCTGTCTGCGGTGTCTGGAGACCACTGTGCAGCTGACAGTCCTCGCTCCGGCTCTCGGCTGTATCTCCTGGTCCTGACAGGGAGGGTGGCTTGTTAAATCCCTTTCCAGCCACTTCACAGCTCCAACTAAGGGCCCAGGGAACAGCCAGGAGGTGGTTTTAACTAGTCCAGCTGCCAAAAAAGGTCTCAAGTATGGGGAAGGAGGCTCCTTTGGTCTCTGTGCAGCAGTTCAGGCAGTTCATGTCCTCTTTGCCTACCCAGGCAAGCTCTGACTTCTGCTTCAGGACTGAGCAGAGCTGAGACTCATACCCACTGTCCCTCACATTGACATGCGTCCTTTGGAGCAAGTCCCTGTCCACAGACTGAATCCTGCCATCCTGGACACCCGTTAGTGTGGAGAGCAGCTGGACATCCCAGTCTGACTCAGAAGAACTTTTGCTGAAGTCGTGATCAGCCCGCACGTTATGTGGAAGAGGCTGAAGGAGCCCAGGGCATGGAGCCTGCTCTTTGCTGTGGCCTGGGAGGTCAGGTAGTTCGGGTGCTATTTTTTCTGCTGCTCTGACACAGAGCGAGCAGCAACATCTGGCTTCAGCCACAGGCAGTTTTGGAGAGGGCAACTGGCCAGTAGGACAGCTGGTCTTGCTCATTGTGCTCTCCAGATCAGAACTATTCACATTTCTGGGTGTATTTTCATTCTCCCCTCGGAGCTGCTTCCCTTGGGAACTCACGTTCGCTCTGCTCCAGCCATGCTCGCCAACAGTGCTGGCTGCCACAGCCTCTCTGGGATCAAAACCCACAGACACAGCTTCAAGGGAACCCGGCCGTGATGCAGGGTCCCCAGGGTTCCCACACGGGCACAGGTCCAAACCGAGGGAGCTACAAGGTCTGTTGGAAAGCTTTGTGCTTAGGGGCAAGCTGCCAGTTTCCACCACACTGGGCAAGCCTGGCTCAGACATCTGTCCTGCACCCTGCACACCCATCCCACCATCCACTGGGCTTGTCTGCTTATACGGAGAGAGGCCACCACCCAGCTCCAGCCTGGGCTTCTTTCCCACCTGGGTGCTCTGTCTGGAGGAGAGCTGGCGTTTCCTGGAGGCAGGCAGTGCTTGCAGAGGAGGGCTGATAGACCCAAGCATTTGCTGTTTATGAAGTTCAGATGAAGAAGCAACTGCCTCTCTGACATGAGCAGCCGCTACGCGAGTCCCCCAGCGCAGGTCAGGAGCCAAGCCCGAATCTGTATCCTCCACCGCAGGCTCCTCTGTGGTGCCACGGGCAGCGCAGACCCCTCTGGTGAGTCCTGCTCCAACAGGCAGCCCCAGAGAGCAGTTCTTCGACAACCCCCCTCCTTCTCTGCGATTACTGACTCTGTCCCTGGGCAGACAAGGGGAGCATCCCTTGGTCTTCTGGCCACGATCATGCTCAGTATCAGTTAACAGTTCCACAGCACCCTGCTCAGGCTGCTGCCTTTCTTTTCCCAGCTCTGCTGTCAGCATCTCAGTTCCTCCAGTAACTTGTGCTTGAGGCACTAAGCATTCATCTGTCAGGCAGGACCGTGGCACCCTGAGAAGAACCATCAGTTAATGCTCACTCTCTCTAGGCCTAGCAACACCCTCCCCCCAGCAAGATGAAGCGTCTTCTGCAGTGCAGGATGCTTGAAGGCCTTGCTCAGGAGGCAGCGAGAAATTTTAGACCAGTGAGGCTCAGCAAACAGTGATACTGCTGCTGGCAGAGAAGATGGGCAGCACGAGGGATCTCTCAGCCTTCTCAACAGCCCAGGGCCCAGGCACAGAAGTGCTACTAGAGCAGCAGGGTTTGTATCAGACACGGGGACAGAAGAGATGGGCTCAGCTGCCCTTTCTAGTTTAAGAGGCACTAGAAGTCCACAGGGACTTCCCTGGAGCAGAAAAGCTGCACAGAAGCCACAGAAACCGAAGAAGAACATCTCCCATGGCTCATCTAAACCTTGCCCGGCAGGTGCCAGGTTGGTCCTGCAGTCAGCCGCAGCCCTCTGCTTCCTGCTGGCTGATTCCCTGGCACAGGGCATGAGCTAGGGACCAGTACCAGCATGAAGACTCAGGCCCTGTTCCCGCGAGCGTGCCATGTGGCACCATGGTGCTTTTTGGCTCCAGGACTTACCAGATTTGCAAAGACTTACTTGGCTGACTGCTCCACAAAGTTGTTGGTGAGCTGTGAGATGACACGATCCACAGGGGCATACTGTGAGTCGTCCAGTGCAAACCGCTTGTGCTGGGGGCTCTGGAGGTGCTGGAAGGTGGCAGAGGCCCTTTTAGCAACACTTGTCCTTTCACAGTAGGGAAATTTGTAGTAACAGCCACTTCCCACAGCCTAACAGACTAGAGGGCAAACAGCCTTTTCACCAGATAGAGCCATTGTTTGGAAGCAGATTTGGGAAATGTAGGCAACGCTGTTACCCCCGGTTGCTTACAGCGAGTATTCTGTTCCCATAGACACCTGCTGATGAGGAGGTTGTGTCTATATCTAACAGCAGCCTACAGCTTTCCCCAGGAGCTAGTAAAAATGCAGACTCCAAATACGTACTGTCTATCACTAAAGGCTGGGCTCTGAAAGCCACATTGTTTGGCATCTTCCAGGAGATAAAAAAACCTCTCCCCAACTTTTTAACCAGCCTATGCCCCCCAACTGCCATGGAATAGGCTTCCCACCTTACAGATCGGGTAACAGGATGATCCGTGAGGCTCTCCTAGCCCCAGAGATGAGCATGTCATGCTCCAATCTTCAAAACCATTGTTTGCCCAGACCAGGAGGTCAGAGCAGATGTACTATGGCTTTCATCTACAAGGCTGATCCTATGAGATATCACGAAGGCTGTATGTATAGCAATCTGCCTTCCTTCCAAAAGGGTTTCTTCTGATAACAGGCACATCATGATTAATGAAGCCGCTGAGTGGCCCCCGTAACTTTTGCAAGGAACCAGGTCCCAGGGGAGCCTTTACCTTCTGCAGCTCTTCAAAGGTCTCTTGGCAGCACTCACAAAATCCCCTCTTTTTCTTTGGCACAGTGACTGGTACGGATCGGGGGCTCTTCTCCCCCTCGCTGCGCATCGGACAGTCCTCCACACCCCTGCAAGGTAACAGCAAAGATCTTCCCTGCCCTCACTTGACAGCATCAGCAGGTACCAAGCTGCGTTAAGGGCCAGGGAGGCAGTGCTGCCCTTGAACTACAGCTGTTTAACCCAGAACAGGGCTCCTTTCACCTGCATCCAGAAGACAAGTGCTTCTCTAAGTCCCAGGAACCAGCAGGGCAGCAGTTAGCAGAGGAGTTGGGTTAAAAACTCGCACAGAATGAGCTACAACCTACCTGGCTCTGCAAGAATTAGAGAGGCTTTTCAGAGGCTCAAATGGGCTGGAGCTTTTGGGTGCCAGGAAGTTCAGGTCAGGAAAGCTTTTGAACTGGTGATGGAAGGGTCGGAATTGCCTGAAAGCAGATCAGGACATCAGACTTCTGGCAGCAATAGCATGGTTAGAGAGCTGTCCCTCCCGCAGAGGGGCTCAAGGTGCTGTCTCATTTATGATGGGATACTGGCTATCGCTGTCCTTTCATTTGGCTGTTCCAGAGATTTCCCATTTCTCACTGGAAGTACTAAACCTGATTCCCAGCAATGGCACTGATGGGGGGGATGTTTTGGACAGAAGGCAGGCTTGCCTGCTCAGCTAAAAACCCACCTTTTGCCCCCGAGGTACATCAGCAGCAGCCAGTGCAGTATTTTCAGCTACGCAGCAGCATGGGAAGGTTTTGGTTCCCAGACGACATCTCTCTCTTCACACTTTATTGCATGCAGCATGTAAAACCTAATATTTGACTCTGCAGCTGCCTTAAATGTTATCTTCAGAATAATTAATTAGCGCTCTGGATACCGTTAGAGTTACAGAGTTGTTAGAAACACCACAGAGATCAGATCCTCTTGTGCAGGATGTTGTAATCAAGTTACAGGCCCTGACCTCATGCGCTTCAATCTCTTTCCTCATTTCAGAGGACTCAAGCAGATTAAGTGACCCACCAAGGATCACAAACGGAATCTGAGCAAAGAAGTAAACTGTTGTCAGGTCTCGTTTAGCACCTTTTTTCCCTCCTGACATACGAGCCACTTAGATTGTTTCTCTAAACTCCATTTGCCTCCCTCTAGGAGAGTGTCAGCTTCCTGGTGTGTAACAGGGTCTTCAAAGAAGCCATGCTCTGCCTCGTGGACAGAATATTCCCTGCAAATAAAACCAGTAAAGGACTCCCTCCCTGGGAGCCCCTGAGGTTTTAAGGTGTGATATTTAGAAAGACCTCATTTACCTGCTCTGGTCTTCAACCTTCAGAAAAGGGGGCTTCAATTTTCCTGCTAGAAAGAAAGTTGGTTATTACAAGTTGCCCTGGCCAAATTCCCTACTTATTCATTCATTCCCCAACAGAATTGGGCTACAGAGCCAAGCTCATCAGTATTCCTGACACCTGTGAATGCCAAATGATGGCTGAGCACAGCCAAAACAGCTCTTTGGCTAATCTACAACAGCCCTCACCTCCAGAGTATTCAGTAGGGTGACCAAACCCTAGAGGCAGCCCAACTGTGGACTGTTTCCACCTTTGAAAAAACATCCAGCTAAGCCCCTTGCATCTTTAATGTCTACTCAGCCTTATCAGCCAGTGGCCTAACCCCAAGCCTCCAATTCTGACTCGAATCCTAAAAACCATCACGCATCCTCAACGCAACATGCCGGCAAGCACTAGAGAGGAGTTTATAAGAAACAAATTGCAGCAGCAGTTGCACAAGCACAGAGCTCTGCATCAACCCTTCCAGCACCCTTTACCTTTACACAACAGCCTGGAGTTCAGAACGGCTCAGGCCAGGACAGTTAAGTCAAAGCAGTAAAAGCTGCTGGAGACAAACCAACGTGCTGCATAGCCAAGCCTGGCACAAGAACACTGCTAAAGAGCAATATCTGGCCTTTGCTTGGTCCCTGAGGAGGGCAAACAGCAGCTATGCTTCCTAGAGAGGCATAATATATATTAAGGGAGCAGAAGAAAGCCTCAGCAGTGCATTCAGGGAAAAGGTTTTCAGAGCCAGCCTGGGAGAAGAGGCTACCAGGTCCCTCCTGTCTCACAGGTATGTTCAACTTGCAAGTGATAACATTACGCTCAGCCTGGAAATCTGAGTACAGGTCCAGTTAAGAAACAAATCAACACCAAGGTATTCCCACAGGGTGTCTGCCTGACCCTGAAACCAAGCCTCCCATGCCTCCCTTATTGCCTCTGAAGGGCAAGGTGTTTTGTTTTCTTGTGATCCTGGCACTCAATGATATTTTCTCCAAAGAAATTTTAACCTCATCCTCCAGAAAGGCTGAGTCCAGCTGTCCTCGCCAGTTAGTTCCTCGAGCCTCATCCTGAGCTTGCATCAAATGCGCTGTTATGTCACTAAAGTAGCTATTTAAGTACAGGATCAATTTTTCCACATAAACACTGCCAAATGCTTAGCACTTCTGAAAGCAAGGCCACGTTTAGGGCCCCAGATAAAACTCAGACTGGTGCGCAGGTCCTGAGCTCTCACGGCAGAGTGCTGAGCAGTGACAAACGGTTCAGCTGTCACCACAAGTCCCCAGGCAGGGTTCAGAGTGTGCGACAACGAAGAACTCTGAGCTTGCAGCAGACAGTCTGCCTTATCCAACAGCTTTTCGAGCCTTTTTTCACCACCTTCCCGCCCCAAACTGGAAAATCACACACAGAATCCAGGTTGGAGTCTGCTCTGAGATATTACTGAGCATTCACTCTCCGACGAGCAAAGTCAAACAAGTCACAAATTAATTTACGTCACTGGTGCCAATCTCAGTACCACAATTGGCTCTTGTCTAATTGCAGATGAGAACCTGTTTTTTTCCCCCCCTCCCTCCTCCTTTGGAAGTGTTATCCCTAGATTGGTGTCTCAGCAGTACATTTCAGCCTAACAGAAGTGAGTGGGTTGTGAGGAACACGCTCTCCTCTGTAGGATGCATTATTCTTCGAAACTTCGTTTGAGCCAGTGGATTCAACGTGCAGTGCCAGCAGCACAGTTCTTGGGTGCCTTGGGATTCTGGGAGCTGCACTGCAAACGGTTTATGGGATTTTTGAAAACACTGCCTGAAATCAAAGGCATAACATCCTCAGCTGTATTAGGAGGCTGCAGCTAGACTCAGACAAGGAGTTTCAAAACCCATTCAAGAGAAACTGCCTTAGCAGTTGGCATATTTCGGATTGCTGAAGTTTCAGATGGATTTTCAAATTCTAAACGAGGCTTCTTCAAGCAGCTCCGCATCTGAGTGTAAACAGGAGCACAACTTCTGGGCCTACCTTTGCGAATTTTTGATCCGGATGCAAGGCATTTTGCCTAAAGGAAAAAGTGACACATTTAGTATGGGAGTCAGCACAGGCCGAACTGTAATTACTGATCCCAGAGCAGCAAAGCAAGATTACAGCAGTCTCACCCACCACTTCAGAGGTCCTGCATCAGAGACTATATCACCTCCCCCTGATATTTTGTCTCCCAAGTTACCTAGAGTTACTTTAAATACAATATACAGGCTGCCACTCTCTGATCTTATGCCCTACCTTCTTACTGACCTCTCCAATGCGTTAAAAAATATTTCAGAAAGCTGCATGTGATCTTCCTTTTACCCTTAGTCCCTTGAAGGTCAAAATAGGTATTAGCTGTGCTACAGATGAGGTTGATAGCTAACAGCTGCTTCATTCTCATCTGTGTTTACCCTCACTTTATACACGGAAAAATTCTTTGAATTTTGACATCTCCATCAGTAAACAGAAGAACCAGATTGCCCAGTGTTGGATGAAAACCTGGGAGATCACCCTGCTTACAAGCCCAGTAGCACTAGAGGAGGTAGAAGGATTGCTTAGAGCTACCAAGGGATCCTGAGCGCCTCAAATTGGGCTGGAGTTAGGTCAGTTACCTCTGTCTTCTGGCACCGTTTCCTTGCTCCCGAGACAGCACGCAGCAGCTGTTGAATGTATGACAACATTTCTGCACAGGTGGGATGTCAAAGAGCCATAGCTCAACAAGCGAAGATGAGCTGTTCCTCTCCACCAACTGCAGCACAAGTGTAACTCCCCATCCGCACCAGGAAAAAGCACGTAGCGCCTGAGCCTGCCATCACCTGGCAGAGCATCACCACTACACAGTTAATTTGCCCAAGAAGAAGCCAAGAAAGAGTGCTTTGAGGGACGGCACCCCACTTTGCTCTTTCGCAGAGCTGGAGGCTGGCTTTAAGTCTCTGCAGAAATGAGACACTGTTAGGAATTTTGCGGCACGCAGACCAGACCCCGACAGGCTTGCAACACTGCTGCGGATCAGCAGAGCTGGCTGCTCAGGAACGTGTACTAGCAGTAGCTGCCTCCATCACGCATCCAGACAAGCTCAGCCACAGCTGTATGTCACTGTCACTGGACACTCAGGAACCTTTTACTCCAGACCTATTATTAGAATCAGAGTTTCACCATCTGTCTTTCCCGTCACCCCCTCCCCATTCATCACTGAGACGGGAAGCGCCTTCCAGCACAGGTCCTCAAACATCAGCACTTCCTAATTAAAAACGACCAAATCCTGCCATTATCATGATCCCTACTTCCAGGTCAATTAGTAAAAATGGTCTTTTTGGAACAAATTAATGCACTGACCAAGCTATTAACATTTTCTAATATTACAGCTTCAGTATATTACAACATACTCAGCGTTTGCTATTGTAAATGTGACAGTAGCATGTTCTATACATACAAGGAAATCTGATTTTTGAAGCGCAGACCTAGCTAGCCATGGCCAGGATGGCATCAGTCAAGTACTGGATATTGCTCGCAATTTCTTCCTTCTCCTGTACCACGCTTGCTACATCTCTTCTGCTCCACCTGTCTCAAAAATCACTAATTATCAACACCTAAATTTCAGCCTACAGAGAAGGATACCATCCACGTGCAAGATCTGGACTCCCCACAGGCGAGCGTTGGCAAGGATACTGCTGCCACTGCAGGTGTCCTGTGCAAACAGAGAGGTTTGGCAAGGTACAGCTCAAAGCAGAGACGGCTGTGTGAGCACATGCAGCTCTAAATCTAGTTTAGAGAGGTTTTTTCTGTTGCCCAATTGACAGACCATTGCGTAGCTGTTATTAAAATCAGGGCACAGCAGAAAAGGTTTCAACTCATGCTTTATCTACCCCAAATTAACAGTAGCATCTAGGTCAAATTTTTAATCCCTGCTATAGCATGAGCTTCTAAGTGGGCACTGAGATTCTTTTGGCCACTTATGATATCAGTGAGAGGACTGCAGGGGAGCCTTTTGCCCCAGCTATGTGGCTTTAGTTCTTTCTAGGCTAAAAATTCATCTAACAATGGGTCTTGTGTTAATAATTCTCTTGTGTTGAGCACTCAGATCACTGGGACAGGCCTTAGAAGTACTTAACATGGACAGATGACAAGCTCCATGAAGAACAGTGCCCAGGAGCACTGCATAATGTTCTGCAGAGCCACAAGCTTCATACCTTTACCAGCCCCAGAATTTGCTCCCTTCAGCAGGCAGGGGCTCTGGAGAAGCAGCTGGCACTGGTTCTGCACTGCTCAGAAGTACTTTGAACATACCCAGCTAAAGAAAAGCCCATCCACATGCTGCTTACCTGATTCTTCATGGCCTTCTGCAGCAGTTCCTTTCCCCTGCTGATCAGGGCCTGCAGAGAAAGAAGCCAAGTACTACATTAAAGCAAAGAGCTACCAGGCAGCGGCAAGCTGAGGACAGTGTGGCTGTTCAGTAAGAATGATTTCTAGGTGATACCCGCTCTCTGCTGGGGAGAAGAGTCTGGCCAAGACTTCATCTCAAAGACAGCAGGACTGAGCATTTCCAGGGAACGCAAAACCGCAGAGGCACCCATTAGGTCTACACTAAGCAGCTGTTCAGCCAAGGCTTGGCTTTTATTGAACAGCAGTGAATAGTCCAGAGTGAGCCAAGAGGAAGTAGCAACTTAGCTCGGAAACTCTGCCTGCCACATCCCAGCATGCTGGCAGGGGTTAGGAACATCCTTGCTAGCCCTTCCTGGGAACCAAGTCTCATTTGCAAGCCAATGATTTCAGCAAATAGATTAATCTCTTTGTAAGACAAATGGACAGCATTGTGAGCAAGGACAGGGGAACAAACACCACGAGTGAGTGAAACCCCTGACATCAGCCCAGGCTTCCCACCTGCAGGCGGTCCAGATCCAGCTGGCAGAGATGCCCGTGGCCTAGGCTGGGGTAGTAGGCTCTCCCCGCAGTCGCAGCTTCCAGCAGACACCAGCGTTCAACACAGGACACTGGAGCTTTGGCCACAAGCACTACTGACCAGAAAGCCCAGCTCCCGCAGGGTGAATAGGACCTAGAGAAATCCCTCTTGCAAGCTGCCCTTGTAGATCTCCTTTCAAGTTACACTGGCCTTGCCCTACCGGTGCCTGTGAGCACGCATCCAGAACCTGCAATGGTTTTATCTTGTCTATGTTTCTCTGGCTTTTCTAGACACACCTCTGCATCCGGACAGATTGCCTATTCCGTTAGGAAGCCAGCCAAGCCCTCTATTTCCTCTGCCATTTGAGTAGATACTCTTTGTTTACTAGCTCAAAGCCGTGATATGCACATTTGAGCAGACAATGATACACAGAGATTAGAAACATCGGTACGAATATGAATGGCCAGAGAGGGGGGGGGGTGGGGTGGGGGGGAAGATGCACAACATGTTTGCTCAGGGCAGGAACAACTTTACCTTCCAACACTGGTCTCAGGTGCTACTCTATAGATCCCTGGGGCCAAACTTTGAGGTGGCCTAAACCTTTATAGCTCTTACAGTGTCTGGTGGCTTCTGGTGAGGTCTGGTATGGTTCCCTTTGGAGGTAGAAGGCATTGGGCTCGTGGCTTTTGTGTCCTCTGAAGTTACGTTGCTCCACTTCTCAGCCTGAGTCCTGGCTTTGTCTCGTTTGGCTTCTTTGCTGCTGGAAACCACGTAGCTGACTTCTTTGCTTAGGAAGCTTTCAGTCACCTACAGCAAGAGGCAGAACAGAGCAGCTCTGAAACCATCCAACAACTCTGAGCTGGAAGAGTCCTGCTAAGCAAGAACTACTGCCTTTAGCTTAATCCCCCACACAGATAAGGGGCAGCTGAAAGTACTCATCTCTACAAGTAGTTCCTTCTTCCAGTCCTTACTGCTGTCTCATGGAGGAAAGGAAATCCTATGATGCGCAGAGAGCGCACACCCTAGAGCTACACTGCAAATAATCACCAGAACTGTCAGATTGAGACTTCCATGACGATGTCTACCATTACCTACTCAAACAACCGTTTCAGAAAAAAAAAGCAGTAGGTGAGAAAACAACCCTGGATGTCATGCATCAGTGTGGAAGAGCTCTGTTCTCAGGAAAACAAAACACATTTTAGCAAAATAAAGTAGAAAGTGAACAGCTGGGACAAGCAGCTCCACATAGAACAGGACAGCAGGGAACTAGAAAGCCAAAACACACGCCTTTGCACAGAAGCTAGAAGTCCGAGGAAGAAATGGAAAACCAAAATTTGGGATACTAACAGTAGGCTTATCAGAAACTCAGCAGAAGGCAGACAGCCATGGGGTGCTAATGCATAGGTATGAAGCCCACAAGACGACAAAGATCTGAGCAGTCTGAAGTCACGGCTGCTGAATAAGCCGGTTCTGCTGCGTTACAGAATCCCTGTGGATCGAGATCCCAGACCCACCTGTGTGAAGTGCCACATGCAACATTGCAGGCTGCCCTTTACTCTCACAGAAGAGAGTAAATCAAAATCTCCCTGTCCAAATAATGCTCTGTCATCAGCCCTAGGTCAAGGCTAAGCTCCGGACATCACATGCAAGTCCAAGGCCATAAGATGCTCTTAACGTGGTCCTGAACAACGCACAGGGCCTGGGTATTACTATTGAAGAGCTGTTTTATAGATGGTGGCCACGGCGCACTTGAATTCAGTATCTCCACAGGAGCAAGAGGAATGAGAACTCCACTCCTGGTGGACTGCATTTCAGAGAGGGAAGTGACCCAAGATGATGCTTGAATAAGAAGCTAGAGGGACAGTCAAAAGGCTAAAATCATTTCCAAGTAGTGTGGCAGCTACGTAGAGAAATAACTGACCGCTGCGAGCAAGCGTTTCTCAGACTTGAAGATGCACAGCTAAATAAGCTACAAGAAGGAGAGCGTCCCTGAGTGTTGATGGCACATCCAGGGGAGGACAGAAAGAAATCAGCAGGTTCAGCGTGAGGGTGTGATTAAAAAAAAAAAGCACAAGTCAGCTTCCCCACGTGTCTCTACAGCCAACACATGATCCTGGCAGCAGAGACAAGAGCTAAATGAGTATTTTACACCTGTGCGTAGCACTGAAGGACTTAAGGAAGTTTTGGGGTAGAAGTGAAAAGATCTGCCTCAAACAGAGAGATTAAACAGTCTGAAAACAAACAGTAACAACTATTAGGACCAAACTGTACTTAAGAGTCATAAGGAAACTGAAAGATGAAACAGATGAACAACCAGCTGCTGGGCACAGCCCCTGACCTCCGTTCCAGCCTGAGTGACTGAAGCAATACTACTTTTTAAAGGGTCTTGGGAGAGGATATAAGGAATTGGTGAGCAATATCAGCACCAAGGAAACCTGGAGAGGCCACAAAGAATGCCACATGGATCCACCCAAACAACAGCTTCACAGGGGGAAGGGTCCAGATGGCTTTTCTGGGAAAGCCATGAGAAGCACACAGCTACATGACAAAAGAGACTTGGCTGACGTTATCCTACTTGACCCGATGTTGAATTCCAGGAAACACCTGAAAGTCCCACAACTTCCCTAAAAATTAAGCTGCCACAGGCTGTTGTGAGGGATGAGGGGGAACCAGGCAACCAGTTACCACCACCCAGAAGGTGCTCCCGTCACCGTGCAACCAGTTATCACTGACCAGAGGATGCTCCCATCACCAGGTAACCAGTTAGCATCTACTGGAAGGCTCTCCCATCACCATACAACCAGTTACCACCACCCGGACGGTGCTCCCATGGCCGGGCAACCAGCTGCCACCGCCCAGAAGGCAGGAGCAAGCAGGCACTTTTCATAGCAGCTGGTCACAGGCAGACCCGGGTTGGGCCGTGCTGCCCAGCGCCCCGTGAGGGGCCTGGAAAAGAGCCAGCAGCGAGGCGGCGGGGTGCAGCGAGGGGAGGAAAGCGGCAGGCAACGGAGGGC